ACATGTTTGCAAGGCTCCCCTTAGCTGCTCTGCTGAATGAAGTGCGTTGTTCGCAGAGCTCAGTAGCTCAAGCAGAAAATGTACACACACGGTTAAATGAGTCAGAGCCCCTCCCCCCCGGAGTTTTCTACATGTTTGAGAGCTGCCCGTGTTATGGAGCGGACACACGTGACACATGTATGGGGGGGATGAAGAGATCTTTGCACTCACCTCTTCCTTACCGGCCGGCCCGCGATCGATCCCCCGATTCACGGCCCCCCAGGAGCGGGCAGTCAGCATGCAGGCGAAGAGGGGGTACAGCTCCCCGGCCCCCATGCGCTGGCTGTATGTGCGGATCCCATCCATGTCCACAGAGATCAGAGCCTGCCACAGCCGGCAGTAGTCCAGGCGGAAGGTGTCATTTAGTTTCTGTGGGAGGGAGGCAGTTATTAGACATCACCGTCTGGAGGACGGACTATTGTGGAGACTCCTCCCCTTCACCCTTCATTCTGCACCTGGTACAGTCCATGGTCCAGCAGGATGATCTCCGGCCCCCCAATCTCTGCACTGTGCCGGACCAGAATATTCCCGGGGTGGGGGTCGCAGTGCACGAAGCCGTGGACGAAAATCATTTCACTGTACAACTTCCCCAGAGCCCGAGACACCTGGAGAGAGAGGAGGCGGTCAGCACAGCACACGGACCCTCCTCCCAAAATGCTCCGCCCCCTGTGTCCCGGCCCCGCCCACCTCTCATACAAAATGAGCTCCGAGAGCCCCAACTCATCCCAGCTCCTCCCCCAAACACATCAGCATATATATAGGAGCCATCATGGTGGACTATAGCGGTGACATCACCGAGAGTGCAGCCTATCAGATCACTAGAGGCCGGTGACATCACTAGAGGCCGGTGACATCACTAGAGACCGGTGACATCACTGAGTGTGCAGCCTATCCCTTCACTAGAGGCCGGTGACATCACTAGAGGCCGGTGACATCACTGAGTGTGCAGCCTATCCCTTCACTAGAGGCCGGTGACATCACTAGAGGCCGGTGACATCACTAGAGGCCGGTGACATCACTAGAGGCCGGTGACATCACTAGAGGCCGGTGACATCACTAGAGGCCGGTGACATCACTAGAGGCCGGTGACATCACTAGAGGCCGGTGACATCACTAGAGGCCGGTGACATCACTAGGGGCCGGTGACATCACTAGGGGCCGGTGACATCACTAGAGGCCGGTGACATCACTAGGGGCAGGTGACATCGCTAGAGGCCGGTGACATCTCTAGAGGCCGGTGACATCGCTAGAGGCCGGTGACATCACTAGAGACCGGTGACATCACTGAGAGTGCAACCTATCCCTTCACTAGACGCCGGTGACATCACTAGAGGCCGGTGACATCACTGGGTGTGCAGCCTATCCCTTCAGTAGAGGCCGGTGACATC